CCTGCTTCGAGAAAAGCTCCTTTTATATCGCCTAGATTTAGGGTCCAGCGATTCGATGCCAACATCTGCAGGATCAGAGCTCGGGCCAGGGGAGACAGAGTAGGACTGTGACACTCGCCTGACAGCACCTTGGCGTGAAAATCAGGGTCGTTGTGTCCTTGCAGGCACCACCTAGCCTTAACCCTCTCCCCCTCTTCATCCTTTTTATTGGTGACTACGAAACGGCTCCCGATGAATCGATGGGAGTAGTGCCGGCGTATATCGGCTGCAGCCTTTCCGGAATGAATGCGGATGGCCTGCTTACCTTGCAGAGTTTCCCACTCGACAGTCTTCGCCTCATCTACCCGGGACTGGAGCTCGGGCGGATTGTTGACAGCGGGGAGCTCTTTCTGAGCACGCTTCTGCAGGAAAGCAGCCATGAGAGCTTCAACGTGAGAATTGTAGGAAGTTGCGCAAGACAAAGTTTGCTCGCAGAAAAGAACCTCTGTCGAGTGCAGACGTGGCCGAGCACTATCTGGTTCCAGTGAAGGCTCACGGCTGGCTTCTCGTTTGGCTGCTGTGGGCCTAGGACTTTCAGCTGCCTCGGCGGACGCGGGAAGCGAGCTGGAGGCAGGTTCCGGGAGCTGCGCGACCAAACGCGGCACAACCTCGGACATTAATTCGAGGAAGTCATCAGGATGAGAATCGGGAGGACGATAAACGAAATGGCTGGGGGTCTTGCTTGACAATCTACGTACAGGGCCGTAACCGATATCCGGGGTCCTTACCGAAGTATCGGGGTTTTCGGGGTACGGTCTACTCGAGGGTCCGGACTCCACAGGTGCAGATGCTGAGGTTGGTGCTGAGACTGGCTCTATCGGAACCGGCCTCGGAGGTCGCTCTTGCTGGCGACTGTTGCGCAAGAATTCGGCTGCATTCAGAGCTGTCGGCGACGACTCTTCGGGGGAGGCAGCTTCAGGTTCAGGGGGTCTACCTTCTTGGGTGAGGTCTAGGAACTGGCTTTTTGGAAACTGCCCCTTCTCAAGAAGAGTGCGGATGCCAAGGAGCTCACTGTCCGGAAATTCAGCAACTACAGCCTCCTCGGCTGTAGCAAACCGAAGTTGTTCGGGGGAACATCTCATAATGCTGCGACGATGAGCTACGACTAGGTTCCTGCCCAGGTTACCTAACACCAATGCGGCCCCATACCACCGACCACCCTCTATACGAGTACCCCCTATGGATTTCTGGGTTCTCCAATAATATACCCAGTCCCCTGAACGGAAGGGTCGTGTGACCCGCGGTCTGGCCCTGAGAGCTGCTTTGAGAGCTCGGTCGTCGTGTACCTCAAGCACGGCCTTGCGTGCCGACATGCGCACCGCGTTGGAGCGGGACCACACAGACTCAAACTCGGCTGCATCTACAGCTGGCAGGTGGGGCTGCTCTTGCATGAGATCTGTTGGAACCCTAGGATTTCGTCCAAATACTAGCTGATAAGGACTCGCCCCGGTTTCAGTCAGGAGGCTGTTCTTTGCTGATTGAGTCTGTTGCAAACACATCTGAAACTCGGCGTCAGAAGCAGGATGGCACTCATCACAGACCCTTTTGAAGATGCGTTCAAACCACTGGCCGTGACGCTCCACCTTCCCAATCTGCCATGCTGCTTCCGCTGCTGTGTGTCGCATATCGACGCCAGCGTTGTTACAGAAGGCACCCAAAACTTCGGACAAGTTTGGCTGAGATGGATCTAGCACCAGCCTTTGAGGGGGCCCCGCCCATGCTATCCATCGGTCTCGCAAAGCAGCAACAATCAGGTCACCAGTCTCTACCTTTGGGAGTGGAATCATGATTTGCAAGGACGTTGCATAATCCACAATATTTACACAAGGGATCTTCTTGGTGGGTTCCCAACTGGGCAAATATTTGATGTCAAGTCCTACCTGTTCATTAAACTCCTTAGCTACTGAGGCATTTGCAGGTGGGGGAGGTGACGGTCGCTGATTGTTTGCACAAACGGAGCATTGCAGTTGACCTGCGAGACGCACTGCTTCCTCAGATGCGCCGCTGTGGCGCAACACCCGTACCAGTTCTTTGGTTGAGGGATGTCCAAGGTTAGCATGCAGTTTCTTAAGAGCTTGCATGGTCCGGGGATCTGGGGCCTGCTCTTCGCGCACGGGAGCCTCAGGATCCGCATCAGAGGCAGCAGCTGCAGCAGGAGCAGCTGGAGCTGCCAGACACTCACACTGAAGAGCTTCGAAATCTACAGGCTCACCGGGTTTGCAAAACTCCTGAACTGGGGCCGGTCCAATGGCCTTCCACACTGAACGGACAAACTCTGGAGCATATGAGGCGGCTACAGAAGTTCTAGGCTGACCCGAGGGAAGGTTCCCTTGCAACACTTGATGTTTCGGGCACCCGGGGCATGTTCTAAGGGCCTTCACTATGGCAGGGTTAGAACACACCAAACCAGTGCTCTTCCGCTCGGGGAGCTGCGTTCGTGGACACTTCAGGCCGTATGCACACATATGCACCCTATGGAACCCAAATTTCCTAATCAGGGATTGCATCTCGGGTAGCTTCCAAACCCTAGACCCTAGGGGATGTTCAAACAGGAAGTGGCCACCCCTACGCAGCTGAGCATGCATCTGCTCCACGCAGAATCTCACCTGTGCACGTGCCTCTCTCACTAGGCGAGCATTTTCCAAGGGAGTCCTGAAGCATCGGTTTAGGTTATCCCAGCCGCCCCAGTAGGTGCATGGTGGGCAAGCTGTCAGGAGTTCAGGTTGTGCATTATCTATAAGATGAGACACCTCTAGCTGAGTGTCTTTATCTAGGAGATCACAGCCCTGAACCTTATCAAACGCTAGACCCGTTAGACCCTGACGTCTTGCCTCTGCCGTGAAGCGAGGCGGAGAGAACAGTTCAACCACCGCCGTGCTTGGGCGATCGTTCGCCTGAGCCGAGGAGAGATTTCTGAGTTGAGCTAACAGACACCTGCACTGCTTTGCCTTGAGCTTCCGTTGCTTCTTGCTGGGCTGTTCGGGATGAGGCTCTGGGGGATCGGGGACTATCCTAGATCTATCCTCCCTAATTTGTTCACTGTTGGGGGCCCTACCCGAACTAACCACCCCTAGTTCCCTAGTCCCGGTGGACGAGGCCTGTACAGCTGAAAAGTCCTCGGCTTGTTGGAGGTCAGCTTTCCGATTGCCTATGTCCGTTTGAGGGCAATGTTCTGGAGTAAGCTTAGGGGGGACTAACCTACAACCCGATTGGGGAAGATTAGGATTTAGCCTAGGAGCGGGGAAGTTCATGACATCAACCAGGAGCTGTCCCGCCCTGTTGGTGTCCATGGGGACGGGCTCCTTCTGGTCTAGCACATGCATGGTATGATCCTTGAAGTTGAGCTTCACTCTGAGCTTCTCTAAGGTGGGGCGTCCCAACAGAAGAGGAGCTTGGCCACGAATGATTGCTGCATCGATGAGACCCACTTGGCCACCGATGCCCACAGGAAGCCTGACTGCTATGGAAGAGGTCTCAGTGGCCCCGTTCCCAAAGCGGAAGACGTTGGTGGTCTCATAGGTCTCCACCGGCCTCCGAGTGATCTGCGCCAACTTCTCGGTAAGGATCTTGAGCGTGTCCTCGCCAATCAGTGTTCGGCCACACCCGGAGTCGATGACCCCAAACCCGGGAGAAGAGACAAGTCCCGGGGCCTCCCGGTCTGCCTGGCCCACTTGCAGGCACGTCACCTCAGCAGTCCCGACAAACGTGATCTCGTGGTTCTGTGTGGCACCCTCAGCAGTCACCATCGCGACCTCGTGCGGGTTGCCCTGGTGCTCGACGAAGTTCGCCTCCGTGGTGTTCTGCACGCCCTGTCCCCTGGCTGAGGACATGGCGCTTGCTGAGCTGGTGGAACGAAAACCTGGTTGCGGAGGAAGCCGGCATTCACGAGCCCAATGTCCTGTCTTCCCGCATCTCCTGCATTTTGTTCTTCGCTTGAGCTCCTCAATTTCTACGCGAAAGGATTTTCGGGCCTGGTCCGCCGCATTGAACTTGCGACTGCGTTGAAGCTGAGACAGCTCCTTGCGGCGCTCCTTCCAAGTGACAGCCAGCGCCTCCGCAGCGTCCTGCTCCAGGATCTCTTCGCCAGAGGGGTTGACGGAGAGGTCGTANNCTCGATGTCCTCGAACGCATCGGCGCCATCATCTCGGGAGGTCTCTCCATCGTCCTGTTGCTCAACCACCAAGGCGGACATGGGCTTCCTGGCCCTGCTGCTTGCCTTGTAGGCGGGAAAGCACGAACGCATAGCCGCCGAGATCTGCTCAATGTCTAGCTTTCCTTGGGCCTTGGCCTTGATGATAGCCTTCTGCTCCTCATTGAAACCGGCACAATGAAGAGCTATCCAACCCTGAGCTTCTGCTGGAAAGGATACAGAGGCCTTGCGAGTGCACTTCAGAAAAACCTCCTGAACACGAGCTGTCCACTGCTGCGACGTCTCTCCATCATGGGCACAGAGACCAAACACCTCTCCGAGAGCTTCCCCCATCTGATCATGGGGCTCCTTCTCAGGGAACCTCTTCTTCAGTGCATTCCAGAGGGCCTGTTCGCCCTCCTCTTTGGAGAGGTCCTCGAACTCGAGGTGTTCCACCGCTTCCAAAGCCTTGCCTTCCAGCAAAGTGAAAAGCCAGGGGCCCCTCTGCTTGGCAGACAGGTCCTTCATGGTGAACATCTTCGCCTTGGCCCAGGCAGTCCACTTCTTGAGCTGTTTTCCTGGATCATCGTCTTCACCATTGAAGCGTTTGACACCCTTGTCATCAGA